AATTCTTATGCCTTAGCCTCTTGAGTAGCTGGGATTACAGGCACCTGCCACCATGCCCACCCGGTTAATTTTTGTATTTTTTGTAGAGACGAGATTTCACCATGTTGGCCAGGCTGGTTTTGAACTCTTGGGCTCAAGTGATCTGCCTGCCTCAGCCTCCCAAAGTGCTGGGATTACAAGTGTGAGTCACTGCACCCAGCCAAATGTTAGTCTTACCCAGAAACACCCTCACAGATATACTCAGAATAATATTTGACCAAATGTCTGGACACCCTGTGGCTCAGTCAAGTTGACACAAAAATTAGCCATCACACAGATGGTTACTGATACATACTGTGTATCATATAGATGGTTTTGAATTCACACTGAAATCTGAGGACTTTTATAGGCCATTAGGGACATGGAAGGTTTTCAAAAAAAAGTGATTTGATCAGATTAGCTGGGACATACTTAGGAAGGATCCCTGGTGACTATGTGGAAGGTAGATAGATAGTGATAGGGTAGGATAGGTGAATCAGGGCAGGGTAGCGGGGAGCAAGACTGGAAGACAGGAAGGTATTGTACAGGACAGAATGATGAGGTTCTATTCTTTTCTCTGCTAATGACCCTTTCCGCCTTACTATTGCTACATAACAAATTACTCCAGTGCTTAGTAGCTTAAAACAATTGTGGGTCAGAAATCTGGGAAGGGCTCTGCTGGGTGATTCACACTTGAGATCTCCCTCTTAGTTGTAGTCAGATGTTGGTTGGGGCTTTATTTATCTTGTCTGTGCTAAGATAAATAAAGATGCATGGTTGGCAGTTGATGCCAGCTGTCATCTGCTGTACACAGCCTCTCCAGCAGGGTAGTCTGGGGGTAGTCAGACTTCTTACGTGACATATGGCTTCATTTCAAGAGAACCAGGCAGAAGTTGCATGGCCTTTTCTGATCTAGCTTCAGAAGTCACACAACATCTCCTCTACTGTACTCAATTAGTCAAAGCAGTATCAAGTGGTCCAGAGTCAAGGAGGGTGGGAGGAATTAGACTCCACTTCTTGATGAGGGCAATGGCGAGTTGACAATACAGAAGAACACAAGGGATGGGAACACGTGTTGTGGCCATCTTTGAAAAAACAATCTGACATAGCTCCCAAATTGACTTATTTTATATACACAATTGCCCCCAAGATCTCTCCACTTGGAAGTTTTGTTGTCAACTCAAGTCTAAAGGAGAATTTATCACAACCAACCTCCATCCCATTATTATTATTATTATTATTATTATTGTAATATGATAACTTTTTAAAAAACCATAGACTAAAACATTTTTCTTTCTTTTTTTTTTTTCTTTGAGACAGCATCTTGCTGTCACCCAGGCTGGAGTGCAATGGTGCCATCTCGGCTCACTGTGACCTCTGCCTCCTGGGCTCAAGCCATCCTCCCACCTCAGCCCTCCAAGTAGCTGGGATCACAGGTGCACGCCACCATGCCCATGTAATTTTTGTATATTTTGTAGAGACAGGGTTTCTCCATGTTGCATAGGCTGACTAAAACCTTTTATGTTTGACTTTTCTCACTCTGAAAATAATCTGCTACAAAGTCCTATTTTTTCTTCTTCCTTTATGTTGGTTCCACATCCCACTTCCCTAATTCTGGAGTGGGCCCCTAACTGAAGTCCATTTATCTAAATTTCTAATATTGGGTTCCCTAGGAAGTGAACTCTGAGGCACAGCTTAGCATGCATGGTTTTTCTTAAGGGGTTATTTTGAGATGGACACCTGTGACAGGGAAGAGAAGGAACTAGAATTGGGAAGGAGAAAAAGTGGAGCTGCAATATTGGCCCAACACAGCCTCAGCTGACTCAGTGGGAAGCTCTGGAGTTACAATGTTCCTTCAGAGTTGTCCCACAATGGGCTAAGATGGATGAGCCTTTATGTTTCTGCATTGTCCAGTCATTGGATGGGCCACCATGGAAAGGAGCATGAACTTGGGCAAGGCAGCTCTTTGCAGTTGAGGAAATCCCCAAGTGGCTGACAGCTGCTGGCTGTCCACTCATGGCACTCCCAGGAGCTGGAGCAACAAGTCCTTCCTTCATTCAGTCTTCAGCAAACTTTGTTCCACATCATTCTCTCCATGTTGACTTACCCTCTGATTATTTCATGGCCGCTATTTTGCCCCACTCCAGTGCAGCTAGGTTATGAGCTCGAGGAAAGGAATGGAGGCCGGCCTTTTCCCCACAAGGTTCAGCACAGGTGAAGTACAGATATATGTATAGTCAGAGCTCACAAGGTGCTTCGTAATCAGTTTACCAGGGCTTTGGATTGATGCAGAGATTGCTGACCGTAATGTTTGTATTACCATTACCATAGCAGAAGAAATGTTTTAGGGGACCTTCACCTCATTGTCTTTCTGAGGGAGAAGAAAACTAACATCCTTGTTATTAATAGCTGCCCAGAGCTTGCTGTGCTGGGCAGGGAATGGGAGTAGTGCCTGGAAACAGTGCCTCTCTGATTCAAGCTGCACCTGAGGTCCTACTCCCCACCCGGCCTTTTCCCTTCAGGAAGTAGAGCTGGGATCCTTCTTGTTCTCACGGGGTGCTATGTGCATTTAACTAATGAGTGGCTATAAAGTGTTGTCTAAATGTCGAGTATAATTATGGTTAGCAATTACTTTTGCCTGGAGAGGCAGCATTCCAGCCATTGTCGAGGGAGGGAGATAAGTGATAGAGTATTCTCTTAGAGACTCGGGGAGCAGGAGCTGCTTTCCTGCCCTCAGAGGGTCAGGAATCTGGATGCAGCTTTCACCCACACACAGGACACACCTAGGTAGGAATCCCCCGTGGGGTCATATTTTTCTTTATAGATTCATTTCCAAACTGGGGAGAGAGAAAAGCATTTCTGAAGTGCACTGCCAGGAGCCACCATCAAGGTAGTTTCTTAGAGTGTGGTTGCGCTCTGAAAGCCACTCATGAAGACCCCGTCTTCCTCTGGACCCCAGAGATGTTGTGGGTGAAATCCCCCTGCAGGTTTTCTTGCCACCCCCACAGCGTTACCACAGCATCTGAAATTTAACAATAGCCTCTGCAATCATAATAATACATTAAAAGGACTTTGGAGATCCCTAAATGGAAATTTCTATGTGATTTTTATATTTAGAATTCTTTCTCTCCCTCTGGGTAAATTTTATAAATAACCATTGGGAATGCTGAACAGAATTCAATTTCCATATTGATTCTCTTTTGTCTTTTCACATAGGAAATACCAAGCAATTTTTTGTCATGTGATCTTTTCCCATGAAGGTTTATAGAATTAGATAACGTAAACTGGCAGGTAAACAGGAAAGGAAGGAAGAAAAGAAGGAAACAATTGTGTGGAAATAAGCAGTGGTTTGCTTAGAAAGAAATGAAATTCCTTGTTATATCTTGAGATAAATACAGGTTCATCTCACGGTCCTGCCCGTTTGTAGTTAGAGTTGGAGGCTATACTAGCTAACATTGATTGAACACTTGCTGCGATCCACATAAACCTCAGGTACTTCCTATGTCTTATCTCCTTTACATCTCACATTAACCCTGGAAGTAGATATTATTATCAACCCATTTTATAGAGTAGAAACTGAAGATTCTAGAAATTAAGGGATTTACTACATATGTCCATCTGGTCCAGAGCCAGGGCTCCTAACATCACTCTGCTACTAAAGGCTGGGTGGGGCATGCTGTGAATCTGTAGGGATTGTTTTTAGAAAGAAGAGCCAGAGCACTGTAAGTTCTTGGGATCAATGAAGATTCCTTCATGCCAGCTCACTATGGACACCCCAGAAGCATTTTTGACCCTCTTTACCCCAGGACTATGCAGTCTCAGAAGTTTTTTGGTGAAGCTTTCCTGTGTCTAAGTATTGAAACTCTAAGTGAAACTTGAGTCCATGTAACTCAGAAATAACCTTAGGAGACAATACATTTTTTTTTTTTTTTTGAGACGGAGTCTCGCTCTGTCGCCCAGGCTGGAGTGCAGTGGCCAGATCTCAGCTCACTGCAAGCTCTGCCTCCCGGGTTTATGCCAGAAAATACATTTTTTTAAAGGGATAGGGTCTCACTCTGTCACCTAGGCTGGAGTGCAGTGGCTGATCCTAGCTCACTGCAGCCTCAACCTCCTGGGTTCAAGTGATCTTCCCACCTCAGCCTCCCAAGTAGCTGGGACTATAGGCATGTGCCACCACATCTGGCTAATTAATTTTCTTTTTTTTTTTTTAAGAGACAGGGTCTCACTATGTTGCCCAGGCTGGTCTTAATCTCCCGGGTTCAAGCAATCCTCCCACCTCAGCCTCCCAAATCACTGGGATTATAGGCGTGAGCCACTGCACCCAACCCAAAGACATTCTTTTACATAAAAACCTAGAGGCAAAGTTTTTCCTGACACATCCCTCCCCAACCCTGCACCCCAGTCTGCGGCAGTTCTTGCTACCCATAATGCACTCTTACAGCATTCTAGACTTTTCCTTCATAGCATTTATTGTAGTTGTGGATTATATGTTGGTGTGACTATTTGACCAGTATCTCTCTGCCTCACCAGGTGGTAAAATCCCATCAGGGCAGTGACGGAGTGTGTGTCACTGTGTGCAGCATCCCCAGAACCTAATACCATGCCTGCATGGAACAAGCACCCAGATATGTGCTGGAGGAATGAAGGATGCTACTGGTGGTCCTGTCCAGTTCTGAGAAAATCCTGCCACAAGCTACAAGAGCAATCTGCTTCTCTGAAGCCTTTAAAGATTTGGTTACATTTTCAAAATGAATATTCTTTAATACACAATTTCAATAATTTCTGAAATGAGGGTAATGGCTAGCCTTTTTTTTTTTTTTGAGATAAATTTTCACTGTCACCCAGGCTGGAGTGCAGTGGTGCGAACTCAGCTCACTGCAACCTCTGCCCCCCCGGGTTCAAGCAATTCTCGTGCCTCAGCCTCTTGAGTAGCTGGGATTATAGGCGCCCACCACCACACCTGGCTAATTTTTGTATTTTTAGTAGAGACAGGGTTTCACCATGTTGGCCAGGGTGGTCTTGAACTCCTGACCTCAAGTGATCCACCTATGGCTGACTTTTTATAACAGTTAGGAATACTGCTCCTGGAGTCAGAGGGTCTGGTTCTCATCCTGTGATTTGGTTCATAACTTGCTGCATGAGGATGATCAAGTGTTTGAACTTCCGAGTGCATCCATTTCCTCCTGGGTAAAGTGGGGCTAATACCATTAAAGCAATGATGTAAAAAGTAAATGAGTTAACACAAGTGAGCATTCAGAATTGCATCTAGTGCATGGGAATCCCTCATAAGTGTTAGCTATTATTATCAGTGTGCCATCAGCTTGCAACTCATACAGTTCTGCTACAAATTTGTATTGTTCCTGAGAACAGAATATGAGACCAAATTGAGGCCAGGTGTAAAGGCATCTGGACCCTATATCCCTGCTGTCTAGTTTCTTCAAGAGGCCAGAGAGAACCTCCCTCAACTCCAGCCTGCCAAGTATCATTTATTTTAATGCAGTGTGCCCCCAGTCTTAGGAAATGGAATTCTTCATCTTCCAAGGCCTCTGGCTGAGACTAGATACTTGTGTCTGCTCCACTGCTTGACTGGATTAGATGCCCTAGATAGATACTTTTAACTCAGAGAAACTGTGACTCCTTGAAAGGGTCAGATCCCACCAAAAGTCATCCCGATTCTCCGTCAGTTTCTCTCTCCACCCAACCTCCCCCAGCCCATCCAGGGCTCTTTCCTTCTGTGTTCCCCCAGGATAGTGCCTGCTTTCACCCACCCTCTAGACTTAGCCCCAGTCACCTCAAACAGCCGAAGGCCCAAATTTAGTAATAGAAATGGACTTCTCTAACCACTTTACAAAAACATTAACTCATAACTCACAGAAACCCAATGAAGTTGGTGCTGGTGGCACCTCCATTTTACAGATGATGAAACCGAGGAGAGGAGGGAGGTTGAATAACTTGGCCCAAGGTCACTTGCTGAAAAGTGGCAGAGCCAGGATTCACTGCCTCTGGTTCACTGCCTTGGAAGGAAGGAAAGTCTCCCCACTCCCACCACTGGGGAACTTTTCTTTAACTTTCTCCACAGTATCACCGGTCAGATAAATGAGAGGCAAGGAGAGAAACAAAGATGGATGTATGTATAAACTTAGGCAAGCATGGAGAGCTATGGTGACATGGCTAAGTGTCAGTTCTGGAGCTGAATCGCACTGGTTAGTGTCCTGGATTTTGAATTCACCAACCCTGGAAAATAAAATTAGAATGATAATAAGTGTACATACCTTACAAGGTCATTTTGAACATGAAGTTAATAAATATCAAGCCCCTTAGAACAATGTCTGGCATATAGTAAATGCTCAATACTTGTTATATGCCTTTTTTTTTTTTCCTTTTTACATTCTCAAAAGGCAGAAGCAACAATGCATTTGTAGAAAGGATGGCAGACTTGGAATCAGAAGATTGAGTCTGAGTACCATTTAGCTTTTGCTTCCTGTGTGATCACCAGTAAAGCATTTTTTTCTCTGTGAGGCCTTGCTGTTTTCCTCCCTAAAATTGGGATGAAAATACTTTTATTCACTGAGATGGTGGCCTATGAAAGAGCTTTGTAAATTTGCAAGCTGTGACCAAAGAATTATCCCATTTTGCGATTTAGGACTTCTCCTAGAGTAGACAGAAAGTTGCCTTTCAGAAGGTCTTCAGACTCACTTCTCAGCCTTTTGGCTAAGATCAAGCGCAAAAGGTCTTCAGACTGAAAATCCCTTCATCTTTTAGAATTCCACCACTGGAGAGTCATTGTCCGAGTCTTCCAGACTTACTAAGATAAATCACAGGAAGCAGAGAGCCCAGTGTGTTTGCCGGGAGAGAAGAGAAGTCTCAGGAATATGACTGCCGTCTTCGAGGAGTTGAAAGGCTGTCATAGGGTGGCCTGGTCAGACTTCTGAGTGACCAACAGGTAAGAACTGGGTCTCTAAGTGGAAGTGTTAGGGTTGATTTGGTCTGAAGAAAGAAGAGCATTCTTTTGCTTACAGCCCTCAGAAAGTGGAAAGGGCTGCTTGACAGTGAGTGCCTGCCATTGGAGGCATTCAAACAGAGATTTGAGACCACTCCATGGGAATGTGGTGGAGGAAATGTAACGAGTCAGGTGGTGATGAAACTTGTTGACCTGGGCCTGGGAAGATCTCATTCATCCTAGGATGGCAGCACGCTGTGAGGGAGGGGAGGGTCTGGGAGGGAGGGGAGGGCTGGTTATACAGGGAGGCAGGAGGAAAGTATAGGGAGAGGCCTGCTGGGAACACAGGCCCAGCTCAGCAGAATTCACTGTTTTCCCAGAGTAGCTCCTGTCTCTTCGGCCACTTTAGGCCCTAAAGCCTAGAACTATACACAATACATTCATTCATTCAGTTAATTCAGCAAATATTTACAGGCCTGAGAGCCAATTCCCGCAGCGAACGCAGCGTGGGATTGCCTGCCCTGGCAAGCCTCCTGCCTGGTGACCAGCAGAGGGCAGGAGAGACGTGCAGATGCCAAACCCTGCAGCGCCCACTAGCCAAGTGAGCTTCCCCGCCGGGGAAACTGGGTCACTCAGTCCTGCCAAGCTGCAAACATTCCGAGGGGTGTGGGCGTGTTGGGCCTCTCCGGCAACAGCCTCTCCAGCAAGGGCTATGAGGCCGCAGATGTCACCTGGCAAGGCTGAGACCTCAGACCTCTGGACTGGCAAATTCGCTCCCTCCTGCATGGGGAAGGAAGGAAGGCTGAGGCTGATAACATGCGATGGCTCAGGGAGAAGCCTAGAGGGATCTCTTCCCAGCAAAGTGTTTCAAGCAGCAGGGACAGCCCAGTCTATGCGTTACAGAGGCGCCATGGGAGGCCGGGCCTACCACAGTGGATGGATGGGGCCATTTGCTTCAGAGAATTCCTAGACTTCACTTAAGGAGTTTGAGGCTCTCCTTAGGCTGGGCTGAAACCCCCATTTGGATGTGCGTAAAAGGCTAACTCGCTGGATATGAATGGGTGAATGCCAAATCTGATATCTGAGTGATTAGGAGGCAGGTTTGGAGTCAGATTTGCCTTTGTGTCCTGGTTTTCCATCTATATGTCATAGGACCTTGGGTAAGTCATTTTCAGACTTGATTTCCCGTTCTCTGAACTGGTGGCGCTACTGTGAGTATTAAGTGGAAGAATGAAGCATGCATGCAGATTACGATTCTTTCTCCTTCCCAGCTCTCTCCCATCCTGGTCGGGGGACTGTGTACCTGGGATAACAGTTGAAGCAGATGTTTTTTTGAGAATGGAAGTGAGGCGTGGATGCCCACTGTGCTGTCAGTCTGGGCAGGGTGAACTCAACCTGAAGGAATGCTGTTCTGGGTAAAGCACGTGGGCCACCTCTCCCCAGGCTTCTCTGGACCCCATAGAGTCCTGCTGCAGAAAGATGCGAAGTGTGTGAAGGCTCGTGTGGCCTCTTGAAGTCTTTGAGGGTTAAGAAATCAAGGAGATGAAACGGGCCTGGAATGGGAGGAAACTGGAGGATGGAACGGGAAGGAGCCATTCCCCAAACTCCCATTTCCCTTATGGACTCTGATGGTTAGAAAGGCCACTGGAACCTGCAATCAAGGGCCAGTTTATGCACTCTTCAAAATGTGTTTTCTCAACTAATCTAAGACCTCAGAGCGAGGACTTTGTTGCCCATTCCTCTCCAGGAGGGATGGGGGGTGCTGGTGCTGCTGTGTAAAGGCTCAGCACCTTGCTCAATACTTGTTGGCTATTGATGAGGAAGGAATCTTGGACAAGTAATTTGAGCTCCCAGTTTTACTGATTAAAAAATAAATAGAACTGAGGCTCAGAGAACAGTGGAACCAGGAGAAGGAAAGTTCCTGTCATTTGCAATTGCTGCTAGAATCCTCATCTGTGACCATCTGGAGAAAGTGGCTGGAACCCTATGGTGAGCTGCTCAAATCTTGGAGTCTCTCTGCCTCCTTGGGGATTTCTCTTTGCCTACATCCTCTCTACTAAACTCTAGCCACTGCTTATGTTACCCAGTCTCAGGTGGGAGACAGACTGAGTTTTCCTCACTCCAGCCGAACCTTTAGGGCTCCAAGGAGCAGCAAGTGCTTCTCAGGTTGAGGGGTAATTCGCCAGGTGTGTAGTGTTGGCAGCATAATGGGATACAGCCAGTCACCTCCATTGCAATTCCAGCACCACCATGTACTACCTGTGGGACCTTAGGCAAGATACTTGATATCTCCAAGTCTCAGTGTCCTCATCTATAAAATAGGGAGAATAATAGTATTTACCTTACAGCCCCTGTTCTTTCCAGTCCCTCTTAGTCTGAAATTGGAAGGATGAATAAATTAAGCAGCCATCTTCTTCCCTGGGAAAGCCAAAGAGCAACTCAAAAGGAAAGAATTGGAAGCTGGGCTTTGGAATCTTCTAGTCCAGGCACTAGGAGCTGTTGGGTGGTGTGAATAGCCCCGGACTGGGAGAAAGTACCATGGCCTAGCACATCTCTGCTCTCAGATTGCTACCTCATCCACATTGCCAAGCCTCTTTGGGCCTTAGGATCCTCCTCTGGACAATGACAAAGTTGAGCTTGCTGACCATGGAGGTCCTGTAGCCCTGCCCCTACTGAGATTCTCGGCCACAGAGCTGGGCCCTCGTTCTTTGGGATTCAGCCCAGGTCTCACACAGTCACAGTGGCTGAAGAGGCAGCACTTTGCTGAGCTCTGACCCACTTCCCAGAGAAGGTCACTCAGCCCTAGGGAAGCCCCTGGTTTGCTGGTTTGGATGCTGTGGAGGGCCAGGCAACAGGGACCTTAGCCTATTGGCATCTGGTTCCAGCCAAAGCTTTTCAGGGACATGTGAGGGTAAGCAGCAGGGCTGGCAGAAGCAGTGTAAACCAGCCTGGAGCTTACGTTCTGTGGCCTTGCTTTGAAATCTACAACCTCAGCCACCTGGGAAATGATGAAGCTCTGAAAAGAAACACTGGCCAGGGGCCCAGGGGAAGTTTCCTGCTGAAAGGCCTGTGTGAGGATGGATTTCATGTGAGGGGGAAAGTATTGATAGAAGGAGGCTCTGCAAAGGAAAGCAAGCAGGGCAGGAGCAGGTACCCCATTACTGATTCAGTCAGCAGTGATTCAGCGTCTGCTCTGTGTGTGGTGCTGGGTAACAGCTGTGGGGGTGTCATTAAAGGATTCAGATGGGCTGGCGTGGAAGACTTTCTGAACCGTGAGAAATGGATATGGTGTGGACTACATGTGGGGGGTAGGCAGTTGGAGAAGAAAGAACTCAGTGCCAGAGGGCTGCAAGCCCCCCTAGGAGGTGTCTTGGAGCTGGCTGCTTTCAGCTCTCAGGCAGGGGATTGGTTGGATTTCCTTCCTCAAGCAGTGAACTCTCCCAAATACCCGATTCATTCATTTGACAACGAATGCCCGGTTATAACTGACTCTGTAAAGTGTACTCCCATGCGTTGACTCATTGGATCTACTGACCACTGTCTGGAGTTAGTGGAGACTGGTGTGATTATGATCATCCGTGTTTAGAGACAGAAAAGCAAGGGCCAGTCAGAAGTGCCTCATGCAGGGTCACCCGGCTTCCAAGGCTTGGGGCTGAGATTGGAATCCATGTCTATCTATCTTCGAATCCTGTGTCTATTACAGCAAGATGCCAACTCCCAGTGTCCTCCTATTGCCTTGTAGCAAGGATAGACAACATCCTCCTACCTTTTCCACATGCAGACGGGGCAGATTGTGGTGGAAATGTAGACATTTTCAGGGAAAACCAGATGCTCTGGTTGCCTGTCCCCACCGTGAGCAGGAAAATAGCTCAGTATTCACAGGGTCACCAGGAGAATGCCCAGCATTGCCTTAAAGTAGTCCACTAGGCTCTCTCCTTCCACAGGCCCACATCTTGGGGCCTGATGTACTCTGAGGTCCCCCTGGATCTTGATGCCTCCACTTCCGCTTTGTGACTCCACTCCAGGACTTTTTGGTGACTCATGCAGAGGGAAAATACATGGCCTTGCAGAGCCAGGCAGAGCCACTGGAGTCCTGATGAAGGCTCTCTTAACCAGATGACCTTGAGCAAATTGCTGAGCCCTCCGGGCCTGGGTTCCCTCATTTGTTAAAATGATGACAACCAGCTACACCAAACAAAACTTACAGCTTTGTTCTGAGAATTGGATGAATTAACCCATGTGAAGCCACCTCACTCTAAGAAGATATTCAATAAATGCCCTTTTTCACTGCATA